CCTTCTGTTTATAATTGCATAGTATTCCATGGTGTAAATGTACCACATTTAAAAAAATATGTTTTTATTTATTTTACTTATTTTTTTAATATATTTTTATTGATTTCAGAGAGGGAAGAGAGATAGAAACATCAATGATGAGGGAGAATCATTGATTGGCTGCCCCCTGCATGCCCCCGACCAGGGATCGAGCACCTGGGCCTGTGCTCTTGACCAGAATTGAACCTGGGACCCTTTAGTCTGCAGGCCGATGCTCTATCCACTGAGCCAAACCAGCTAGGGCAATAAGTACTTTTTTGATTAACAATAAAATATTTTAGGAGTTAGAGTATTATTTTACTGAGACCTCACATATTAACCTGGCTCTCTGTAACATGAATTACATATTGAAAACATGTAGTTTTAGCTATATGTGTAGGTCATATGCCAGAGAAAATCCAAGTGTTTATTGCACAAACTGATCCATATTAAGTGATCAGAGCTGAATGTAAATACAGAAAAACACTCCTAGGGGTTGTTTTAATAGATAAAATTTTTACCACTTACCATTTATGTCAGAAAACAAACTCCCAGATAACCAGAGAACTTGAAAATTTTGTGCCCTAATTAACTGAATAGTCAATTTCTTCGATTAGTACCAAATATACCATCTATATATATATATAAAAGGCTAATATGCTAAGTATCCGACCATCTGACCAGTCGCTATGACATGCACTGACCACCAGGGGGCAGACACTCAACGCAAGAGCTGCTGAGTTTCAGTGACGTGGCAGCAGTGGTTCTCGGGTGACACACCCCGAAACCAGAGAGGAGGGAGCTTGATTCCTCGCAGGGCCACGGGATTCCACCTTCAACCGTGGGTTATGTTGTTGCTGGGGCACTGTCGGTCCTGAATCTGGTTTACTGTACAGTTGCATTTGCGTTCCACACCCTCTTATGACAGCAACTTTGCAGAGGGCCCTCTCACACTCTGGGACCACTCGGGGGATATCAGAGAGCCGGTTTTGGCCTGGTCCCCACAGGGTCAGGCCAAGGGACCCCACCTGCCGGAGGGACCCTGCTCACTCAGCAGACGCTGGGGAGGGACTGAGGGAGGTTGGCTTCAGGGCATGTCTGGCCAGTCTCACTCAGTACCACCCCACTGGCCACCTTCTAATTAATTTCCTTTCATTGTGAACGAATCCATGCACCAGGTCATTCGTGTATATGTAACCAGTTCTTTTCTCTATACAGTCTGAATGTACTAAAGTGAATATAAAGCAAAAACTGAGCTTTGCCGAAACCGGTTTGGTTCAGTGGATAGAGCGTCGGCCTGCGGACTGAGGGGTCCCAGGTTCGATTCCGGTCAGGGGCATGTGCCTGGGTTGCGGGCACATCCCCGGTGGGAGATGTGCAGGAGGCGGCTGATCGATGTTTCTCTCTCATCGATGTTTCTGACTCTCTATCTCTCTCCCTTCCTCTCTGTAAAAAATCAATAAAATATATATTTAAAAAAAACAAAAAACTGAGCTTTACCTTAGTTAATTTTTGTTTCAGAAGGAATTGTTTAGATTTTACAAAATGATTATGTGGTCATAGTTCACTACTGTAGATGCACATAGAATTAGGATTCAGTTGTAATGATCATGTGACATAGTCTAGAAGATTTGTGTTCTTTTAATTGAGATTTTATCCTTTTATTTTTAATATATTTTTATTGATTTCAGAGAGGAAGGAAGAGGGAGAGAGAGATAGAAACATCAATGATGAGAGAGAATCATTGATCAGCTGCCTCCTAAACACCCTCTACTGGGGATCGAGCCCACAACCACAGCATGTGCCCTTGACTGGAATCAAACCTGGGACCTTTCAGTCCACAGGCCGATGCTCCATCCACTGAGCCAAATCAGCTAGGGCTAGAAGATTTGTTTATAAGTAACGCATATCATTTAAAAATTTTTATTTTAAATAGAAGAAATTCAGTTTATTTTATTCTTTAAAGAGTGTGTTTGTATTTCCTCCCTGCCTCCCATTCTGAGGCCAAGTTCCTGTTGCCAAAGGCATTTTCATCCCTTTCAATCTTAGCAGATGGCAGGAACATGGGTGTGCCATAGGGCTCAGTCTTTGGACTTCTCTGTCTGCTTATTCTATTGGTCTACTCTAGATGCATAGCTTGAAATGTCCTTTATATGATGATATTCTGTGCCTATAATTTGTAATTGCCTATTTGACATCTCTTTAATGTTTAATAGACACCTTAAACTAAACATGTTCAGAACTTAACTCCCGATTTGTCTCCTCATCCCCCAAATCTGCTCCACTGCAATCTTCCCAATATCAATATGACAGCAATTCCGTCCTTTCATTAGCTTGGGTCAAAATGTTTGAATCATCCTGATTTTCCTCTAATATTGACTTCTTTTCCAGACCCAGTCCTGCATTCCAAATTGCCCCTTGCAATATCAACTTAAACTCAGCAAGTCTGAAATTGAGCTCATCATCTGTCCTACCAAAATTATCTTCTTCATATCTCTATTTCTGTGAGAATCATCACTATATTCCTAGCTCTGTGTTTTCTCAATACCTCATCTGGCTTCCATCCTTCTGCTTCCTCATCACCACCCAAATCAACTAATTGTTTTTTCATCGCTGGTCATTTATTGCTATAGACCTGGACTATTGGAGGGGCTCTCAGCCTGATGGCCAGGCCTAGAACCTTCCTCCTCCATCACGGTCTGCATACTGCTGTTGGGTTTCCTTCCTCTGCTGCTGTTGCTAGAATACACCCTTGTCCCCTCCTCTTAAACTTTTTCTGACCATGTTAGCTACACAGTTCCTTTTCTGAACCACTCTAGCACTGTTATCTAAGAGGTAGTGAGGTATATGGAGAGAACTTTGGGCTGTGAGTTTACAGACTGAGCTTCAAGTCCCAGCTATGCCCCTAATCCCTTTTGTGGCCTCAGACAAGCCACGGTACCACCCTGAGTCTCAGTTTCCTTGTAAAATGAGGAAGTTTTAATAGCTGACTATGTCTGGCTCTAACATTTGTGTATTTATTAATCTGCAGCTCAAATAAAGACCATTTCATATATGAATTACTGATCCTATCCCCGCTCAGTGATCATGTCCCCAGTTCTTTGCAGTTGATCTAAAATGTTACTATAAAATGACTTTTATATTTTGCTTTTACCATATTATTTTTTCCTTTTAACATTCTATTACATTAACCCATCTCATCTTTTTATTATGAATTTTAAGGCCTTCATTCCATTATGTTCATGTTTCTCCTGTGAAGTTGCCTGTTCTCTTTTGGTTTTTATCTTGTTCTTCCACAATAGAGACTATACCTTTTTAGCTACAGCACTCATGTATAAAATTGTTCTGTATTTTCTATTCATTGAGCCATATTTGAGTCTTTACTGGAGGATCTCCTTGTTTTGTTGCTCTTACTCTAGTAGAGGTTTGGGTTAACACTTTCTTACCTAAAACATCATTCTAATACTTTGTCTCCCTGAAAAGAAATATTAAAAATAGAAACAGAATAGCCCAGCCAGCGTGGCTCAGTGATTGTCAACTTATAAACCAGGAGATCATGGTTTGATTCTGGGTCAGGGCACATGCCTGGGTTGCAGGCTTGAACCCCAGTGTGGGTGTATAGGAAGCAGCCTATCAATGATTCTCTCATTGATGTTTCTATCTCTCTTTCACTCTGCCTTCCTCTCTGAAATTAATAAAAATATATTGGGGAAAAAAAAGAAACAATAACAGATATTTATAAAATTCATCCTAAAGCCTGCCAACATAGACTTTTTATAATATTTTTATATATTTTTAAATGTACAATAGACATGCCATTTGACTTCACACCAGTACTGGTGTTCTCCAGAGGACCTAGGGTTTGCTCTATCATATATATTTTTGAGTACAATTTACATGCCAACCATGGGGGAAATCTGTGGTGGATTGATGATTTGAGTTATTCATACAAACTTTCTAATGTTTTTAGTATGAATATGTAAGGGGCTCCACTTCTAAAGAAATGGACGTGAGCCTTCATTTTTATTTTGAAATAAAAAGTCATAATCTTGTCCAAATTTCTTATTCTTTCCAAAAATTTTTAGAGAGGTTTTTGCCATGGACGTGCAGCTAGTACAGTTAAGGTCTTTAAGCCATCTTATCAAGGAACACATTAGTAAATAGTCTACACATAGTTTGAGCACTTAGAGCAGAAGTCAGCAAACGCATTATAGGGCCCATAGAAAATATTTTGGGTTTTGCAGTGTCTTGGTTTGCTTGAGCTGCTATAATAAAATAATAGACAGGTGGCTTACATAATAGAACTTTATTTTCTCATTGTTCTGGGGACTAGCAGACCAAGATCAAGCTTCCTGCTGATTTGGTTTCTGATGGGGGCTCTCTTCCTGACTTGCAGGCAGCTGCCTTCTTTCTTTGTCCTCACATGGCCTTTCCTTGGTATGTGCTGAGAGTGGGGGGCAGGGGAGAATGCCATTATTTCCATTGGATTAGTGTCCCCACCCTTAGGACCTCATTTAAGCTTAATTACTTGTAAAGACTCTATCTCCAAATATAGTCACATCAAGGGTTAGGGCTTCAATATAAATTTAGGAGAGAGGACACACAATTAAGACCATAGCAGCAGCCCAAATGGTCTCTCGATCACAACTACTCACAACTCTGCCCTTGTAATGGGAAAGCAGCCATTAGCAAATAAATGTTAAATTATTTGTGTAATTACTTTATATAATTTCTATGTGTTGTGAAATTCTATTGATTTTTAATCACCTAAATATGTAAAAAAAACATTCTTAGTTTGTATACAACAGCAGGTGGCGGGTATATTTAACTCATGGACCATAATTTGGCAATCTTTGATTTAGTAGATAGGAGTGATGAATATTCAAATCCCTCTGAGTGATTTCTCTTTACAGGAGGGTACTTGACATTTTCTGGATGAGAAACTAATACAACACCATTTTTTCTTCCCTTATGTGTTATAGGTACTGAAGTTTGATGCCTATTTTCAAGAAGATGTTTCTATGTCCACTGACGAACACTATAGGATCCGTCAGGTGCACATTTACTACTACCTGGAAGATGACAGCATGTCAGTCATGGAGCCCCTTGTGGAAAACTCTGGGATCCCTCAAGGCAAGCTGATCAAACGTCAGCGCTTACCCAAGAATGACCGAGGAGACCATTACCATTGGAAAGACCTAAACCGAGGAATAAACATTACAGTTTATGGCAGAACTTTCCACGTTGTTGACTGTGATGGATTCACACAGGTATAGTACATATTTTTGGAAGTTGTGGTCTCTGAGGCATTCTAATTTATGGAAGGATACATATCACTTATTAGAGTAAGATAATCTGCCTTGTATGGATTATTATATAGGTTGATTTGGTATTTGTATATGTGCCAAAACTATGCAGTGATATCATTTTTTCACAATGATATTGAAACATAGCCATTCAAATAAAATTAACTTCCATCATAGCTGAAGCCTTTGATAAGAAACCAATTTACATGCCAGTTCAAATAGCGAGTAGAAGAGGTAGCACCCTTGATGGGGTGGAAATAGGAAAGATGCATTGGACAATGTACCTGAAGTTTGAGTTCACAAAAATAGTACTATCTCTATTAGCAGATATGAGCCTAAATTTTTCTGTGTAATTTATATTTTTTTCCCTGTAAATCATACTTGCTATATAATAGGGACACTTGCTCTCTAAAGAATTCCTGAAATAAAACCATTTTTAAAGGACAACACTTTTTTTTATATTGACAAAAATCTTCTGCTTTCTCTATTTCATAAATATGGATTTTCTTACCATAGAGAGAGAGAGAGAGACCCCCTTTTTTAAAAGCACAAAATGTATGCATGTGGCTCAGTGGTTGAACGTCAACCTATGAACCAGGAGGTCACAGTTCGATTTCTGATCCGGGCACATGCTGGGGTTTTGGGCTCAGTCCCCAATTGGGGTTTTGCAGGAGGCAGCTGACCAGTGATTCGCTCTCATCATTGATGTTCCTGTCTTTTTCTCCCTCTCCCTTCCTCTCTGAAATCAATAAAAACATACATTTTTAAAAACTAAAAGCACTAGAAGCAAATATAGTTTCTCAGTTATTTTATACCTTTAATCTCATGTTACCTAATGCCAGATAAGATTAGTTTTTACCATGCACTGAGCTCTTACGAATTCACTCATTTATCTTTTTAATTTAGTAATTTATTTAGCAAATACTTATTGAGTGCCTGCTATGTGCCAGGCACTGTCATAGGTGCCAAGTATAAAGAATTGCCCTTATGGAGGTGATTACATTCTGGTTGGAGGAGGAAACAATAAATTTATAATGTGTCAGATGCTTATAAGAGCTATCGAAGAAACTAAATCAGACTAAATGGGATGGAAGTTGGAGTTGCTCTATATGAAGGCTGGTCAGGGAAGGCCTCACAGATAAGGTGACAGGTGAACAAAGACCTCAAGGAAGTAAGAAAAGGAGCCACGGCACCTGTGTCATCCCAAAGCAACAGAGAAAAACCCTACAGAAGGTTGAGGTGCTAGACCATCTTTGAGATATTGTCCCCTTCAAGCATGTTTTGTTCTGTCATTGTTTAGGTTTTTTAGGTCCTTTAAATCATAGGCAGTTTCAGAATTGTACCAAAAATGAGAAATTATAAAATGTTTCTTTGAGTTACTAAATTTATTTTCACAGTTGTGTCTCTCTGGACAATTTGAACATTTGCAAATTGATCACTGAGCAGTTGATCTAAACCAGTTACAGTCAGTTCTTAATATTCATGGTAGTTTTGTTCTATAAAGTTACCACAAACACTTCATTAGCAAACACTGCACCATTGCTCCAAGGAGAAATACAGGGTTAGGTTCCTACAAGTCTCTGGTCACCACGTTTTCATCAACCCATTGGATACATAAACTTGTTTAATGTGTTTCTGTTTCAGAATGCCACATTTAAAATACACTGTTGATTCATTAACATCAAACTCACACCTAAATGAAAGTTATCTCTCACATGTATTTCCTCCTTCAGGGACATCAGCCTGACTTTTAAAAAATTGTGGTAAAATATACATAACAAAATTTATCATTTTAACAATTTTAGATGTATAGTTTAGTGACATTAAGTACACAGCCTTCTTCGTGTAGAGTATGAGACAGTACGTCAGCACTAAGGTTGGGGTATTTTAAACAGCAAAATCATCAACAAATGCACAAAGTGAGAAAAAGTGGCACTAAAGAGACCACAAAAAGGATACTTTTTCAATACAAAAGCTGAAACACCACAGAAACTCACTTTGTTCAACCTCAGCTATGAATGTGTGCATTAGGCAACTCAGATTTTCATCACTGCATGTCTGAAAGACCAATAAATTTTAGGAAGTAGGTAAATTTGCAAATACAGAATTTGTGAATATTGTAATGACTTATAATAGACTAGAGCTGTGTATTTCGGGCACTGATAATTAGATTGAATTGTGTTTTCAGTAATTGATCTGTTAGGTGAGAAGTTGGCTCCTTAAAAAGTTTAAAATGTATGCACATCTTATTAATTTGATGGTTTTCATTAGGGCTGGACCTATGGATGGATAAGGAAGATAGCTGTCTTTAGGGTGTGATTTGAATAAGAAACCACCTCTCTTTAAACATATCATCATCACCACCATCCCTTCTAACCCCTCCTCATTACTCCAAATAAATGTTTGGTGCTATAGACAGAATGAACTGAACACATTAAAAAATAAAGCTCCAGAAATCAGAGATAATAGAATTTATCTTCACTAAAGTATTTTTTAAAAATATTTTTTTTTTTTTTTTTTTTTTTTTTAAATATGTTTTATTGATTTTTCACAGAGAGGAAGGGAGAGAGATAGAGAGTTAGAAACATCGATGAGAGAGGAACATCGATCAGCTGCCTCCTGCACACCTCCTACTGGGGATGTGCCCGCAACCCAGGTACATGCCCTTGACCGGAATCGAACCTGGGACCTTTCAGTCCGCAAGCCGACGCTCTATCCACTGAGCCAAACCGGTTTCGGCTTTAAAAATATTTTTATTGATTTTAGAGAGGAAGGTGGAGAGAGAGAGAGAGAGTAAAATCAATGATGAGAGAGAGTCATCGATCAACTGCCTCTTGCCTGCCCCACACTGGGGATCAAGCCCACAGCCAGGGCATGTGCCCTGACTGGGAATCGATAATCAGCGACTTCCTGGTTCCTGGGTCGACACTCAACTGCTGAGCCACACCGGCCAGGCTCTTCACTAAAGTATTACTGCTAGTAAAGTAGATATGAACTCTACTCCACAAATGCCGATGTGCAAAAAATATTATATTAAAAAGTGACTTAAAACCTACTTGAGCCCCAGTCCAACTGAGCTTGTATTTCTATTCACCCTCAGCTTTGCCAAAGTTTTCAAGCCCTAAGAACAAGGAAACATTCCCAGACTTAAAGGAGTCCTATAGGCAGGGCTCACATGTCCAGTGACCAGCGACACCACCGTGATGTTTGGTGCTAGGTAAAACACTGGAACTCCGAGCGCCTGAGATTAAATGTACCTGGCTGCTCAGGTGCTCGGAGCGTCCCTACAGATCATGTATAGAGTCTTGCTCTTCTGAGAACCACCAACTGTGTCTGTTTTCCAGTCTGGGGGAATTTCCCCCTTTCTCTCCTCTTGCCCTCAAAGACATTCCCTTCTCTCCCCTCCTTTAAAATAATCTCATCAAAGAGTTTAGGCTTTATCTAAGAGATAGGAAGTACTGTCATCCTTAGGAAGCGTCTCAATTCCTGCCCAAATTCCTAAGGTAAGGTTAACAAAGGGCCTGGTTATCTGTTGAAAGCAACAGAAAGGAGTACAACACATTAAGTATCTCAACCAATAATCCTGCTACACTAATACACCACCTCAAAGGAGAGGAGAATTTTTATTGCCAGTCAGTATCTCCAGCTTAGTCGATTTAGTAGACATTAAAATTCATAATATTTTAATATTGAAAAAATATTAGAGACTGCCTAGTAAACTTTAAATACTAAGATTACAAGCAAGTTAGTGCAGAGCTAATACTAGAACCCAGATATTTTGGTCCTGTGTTCTATATATTTTCTATTGAATTCTCCAAAAGCAAACTACACAATTCCCCAAAGAAACCTAGATTTCAGGTTAATTTCTAGTTCCAGAATGTAAACAGAACCCATGAAGTTGTTCTTTTCTGATTCTCAAAAAAGCATAATCCATTATGGTTCTTTTGAAAAGAAATGTCAAGTTGTATTAAAAGATATGGTGACTCTGAAAATAGTACTATATTTACTCATAATTAGCAAAATAGAATTCAAAATCAAGTCAAGTTCAAAGGCTTAACTTTTTTTCTGGTGAGATGTGAACACTTGATTTGCCTTTCCTGTTTTGCTATAATATTTTCTGGTCTAAACCAGTGGGCATGCTTGCTTTTTTTTTTATTTTGCAGGGGAGACCTAATCATAGACTTGTTTTAAATGAGTTGGAAAGTTGGGAATTTGATTTCAGCTGAACTTTGCCATTGTGCGGTTTGTCCCTATACCTGATGTGAATTATATATTTGAAACTGGTTAGGTTTCAGATTTATGTATGTAAGTAATCCTTACTCTGTGCTCAGGCACCTGACTAAATTCCATTGATCTGAGGTTATATTTGGAGCTTCTCTTATTGCCCGTCATTTTTATAATATAGAACACTTAAGGTAATAATCAGCGATTGTCTGCATTATTGAGTTGGGTCAATTGGAGGCTCGGTACTGCGAATACATGCTCAAGGTGCAAATTAATGGTTAACCCTGGCAGTGGTATAGAAATTATTACACTTATTTTTATTCCATCAGTTAATACTTGAAGAAGCTTCAAGAAAGGTGATCAGTATTAATTTTGAATTATTTAGGAATTTTTGGAAAGTCAAGGAATTGAATTAAATCCACCTGGGAAGATGGCTCTGGATCCTTACACAGAACTTCGGAAACGGCCTCTTCATCAGTATGTCACTCCATCGGACTTTGATCAACTCAAGCAGTTTCTCACCTTTGACAAACAAGTAAGTGACTCAGGCACCTTGGTAAGTTAACTCGTTTCCAAGTGTGGAAATGTTTATTAGCAAACTATTTTGGTGTGTGTGTTTTGAAACATCACACCTATAATATAACCATTTGGATACAGTGCTATTTTTCAGATTTTATTAGAGTTAGAGGGCTAGGAATGCCAAAGTTTTATAGAGATCCAAAGAAGATGGTGGAAGTAAGTCTTATGACTTCCACCAAACTTTAAATCTTAGAGCATTCCTGAGCTACATCTTTCCACTTTATATTTCCAGCTGGCTACTTATTTCCCAAATGTGAGTTAACCTCAACAGAATCCTTTGGGACACCTTAAATGGGTTATTTATTTTGCATATAAGTAGATTTCTAATGCTCAAATAGTAATTTCACAGAAGCATTCCATTACAGATGATTCTTGTTAAGTTTTATGTTAATATGTGAGTACAAAATGTTCTGGGTATTTTCCAACTCTCTTCCAGCCTTCCTGTGCTCCCCCTGGTGGGCATGGTGTGTAGGAGATTTCAGTCTTCCTTTGTGTGCTGAAGGGAAAGATCACCCTCAGTGCTTCTTTGCTGCTTTTTCTCTCTCAGAAATGTAATTCCTTTTAGTTCAGAAAATTTTACCTAGCACTATCACAGTCTTTTTAAGGATGTTCTTTATATCAATTATATATCTGTTATTACTTTGAATTTAAAGATTGTGTTGTTGATATTACTAGAAGATATGTGTTGATAAACTAAAAAAAGACTAATGAGTAAATGAAAATTCTTTCCATATTAATTACATACAAACCATTCACATGCACCTTTATTAGTAACTGTATAAAGGATCCATTGCTCTTTTAATTCAACTTCTCTTTCCCTGACTAATATTTTTGGGTCAAAGTGAATATTTTTTCTCAGCACAGATTTATAAGCCTATTAATATTTTCCAGCTGTTGACATCTGATATATAATTTCAGATGTTTTTGTATGTTTGGTAAAAATTTCTTTTTTTTTTTTGACCATTTGAGATTGCTTCATTGTCTTTCTAGCTAATCTCTTCATTATTGTCTGATATATGAATGCCAAAGTAGCTAAGTTAAACTCTCCACTTATAGAATTCGTATTTAAGTCACTACTTTGGGTTTCTCAAAGGTTCTTCGATTCTATGCGATCTGGGATGATACAGACAGCATGTTCGGTGAATGTCGGAAGTACATCATTCATTACTATCTTATGGATGATACGGTAGAAATTCGAGAGATCCATGAACGGAATGATGGGCATGATCCCTTCCCGGTCCTGATGAACCGCCAGCGTATGCCCAAGATTTTGGTGGATGCAAGTACGTATGGTTTGGTTTATTTTCTGATAATTGGACCTTTTTTTGGATTTTAGAGGAGTTTCTAAATGACCAGTGTGGTCATTTCCCTTTACACTTAGGAGGCTCTTGGTGTGTTCTTAAAGGGACTAAAAACTGCTTTCCCTTAATTTTTGTCCTTTACTTGCCCCCTTGGTTCAGGCTCCACTCAGAAATGGTCTGTGGAGAGGACTGATATCCAAGTCAGAAAACAAAAACAAAACAGCAGTGGGAGATTTATGAAAGTGTGGGAGATCAAGGCTTCTGAACTAACGCAACTTAATATCAGATTTTTGTGCATTTCTGAAAAAAGCTTTTTCATTCACAGATACAGCTTTTCATTTCCTTATGTGCTTTTTTGACTTTGCTTCTTGCCTCAACTCTGTGACAAAAGGAGTTTCTATGTGGGATGACTTAGGATTGGAAAAGGCATGTCTGTGGCTCATAGAGTGTAGCGCCACTGTGTGAACACTTGCTCTTTCTTTGCTGGTGTAAAGGAACCTAGTGGACTGGAGAGTGAGGCCACAACAAAACGCAGGTGGCACCTGCCTCACATCAGTATTTCTCTGCGATATGTAGGCTTGCTTTAGTTACTGACTTTGTAGTTAAGAATGTTCTCTTTGCCTGGCTGGTGTGCATGCTCAGTGGCTGAGCATCAACTTATGAACCAGGAGGTCATGGTTCGATTCCCAGTCGGGGCACATGCCCAGGGGATGTGCAGGAGGCAGCCAATCAATGATTCCCTCTCATCATTGATGTTTCTAAATCTCTCCCCCTCTCCCTTACTCTCTGAAGTCAATAAAAATATATTTTAAAAGAATGTTTTATTATAAAAATGCCATATTGGTGGCATATGACATATCTCATGGTTGGATGGTTGACAGAACTCTGTAAATGTTCATTGATTTTTTGGGGAGTTAGGAGATAAGAAATTCCAGGTATTGAGCAAGAGGTTTGTCTTAAAGGTTATAAACAAAGTGGCCGTCTGAAGGCTAAAGTCTTGGCCTGCACAGTGTTTAAAAAAGAATGCAGTGTTATTTGGGGGTAAGGAGTTGGAGATTTCTATCATTGGGAGAGTGGATAAACAAAATGTGATGAAGGTATACCTTGATAAATATGTAGTGTAAGAAGCAATAAACACAATGTACAAGAAAGCAAATAGGTGCATCTTAAATACATAGTGCTGTGTAGAAAAAAAGTAAAAAGAGATGTATAATGCAATAACGTTTGCATAAAGTAAAATACACACAAAACAATATACATAATACACTATAATAAAAAAAGCTGCACGTTAGAATGGTTGCTTGCGAGGTAGAAGAGAGTGAGATTGGTGAAGAGAATAAAAGGGAGTAAAATTGTTTTAAATTAAGAGAGTTAACATTTAAATCTCTTTTTTTGAAAAACTGAGAATAATTGCTAACACAGATTGTATTCCGTGCTAGCAAGAACTGGATCTGTGCCCTGGTTCAACAGAGTTTGGCTGCTGCCTGTCATATTCTTATATATAGCCTACTATCCAGCCCTCTTAGAGTCCTAAGACATTAGGACTGAGGTACTAATTTTGGCCTTTCAGATTGCTTAAATGAGCCTGAAATTTCTGCCATCTGGAACTGATAAAAGTTAGATTTACAGTAAATTAAAAGAAAGAATGGAAATGTCAGCAGACCTTGAAAAAAAGTGTCACTAAAACCGAGTTCCTTGAACTCTCAGGTTCCACACTTGTCTCTTTTTTATTCATGTGGCCTCCATCTAAAATTTTCAATAAATAATCATCCTGTTCTGTCCCCATGTACAAAAATTAATTCAAAATGGATCAAAGACCTAAATGTAAGACCTAAAACAATAAGTTACATAGAAGAAACTATAGGTGCCAAACTTACGGACCGGCGTTGTAGAGAACATTTTATGAACTTGACCCCAAAGGAGAGGGGAGAAAAGGCAAAAATAAACGAATGGGACTATATCAAACTAAAAAGCTTCTGCACAGCAAAAGAAACGGACAACAAAACAAACAGGCAGCCAACCAGATGGGAGATGGTAGTTGCAAATAGTAGCTCTGACAAAGATTTAATTTCCAAAATATATAAGGAACTCATAAAACTCAACATCAAATAAATAAACAATACAATAAAAAGTGGGCAGAGGACCTGAAAATACATCTTTCCCAAGAAGACATACAACAGCCAATAGATATATGAAAAAATGCTCAACCTCACTGGCAATTAGGGAAATTCAAATCAAAACTACGATGAGATACCACCTCACACCTGTTAGAGTGGCCATTATCAACAAGACAAGCAACAACAAGTATTGGAGAGATTGTGGAAAAAAGGGAACCCTCATTCACTGCTGGTGGGAATGTAGATTGGTACAACCACTATGGACAGCAATCTGGTGATTCCTCAAAAAATTAAGAATAGAGCTACCATATGACCCAGCAATCTCACTCCTGGGTATATACCCAAAAAACTTGAAATCATGTATTCGCAAAGATATATGCACCCCTATGTTCATTGCAGCCTTATTCACAGTGGCCAAGACATGGAAACAACCAAAGTGTCCTGTGTTAGTGGACTGGATGAAGATGTGGTCCATATACACAATGGAATACTATTCAGCCATGAGAAAGGATGAAATAGCGCCATTTGCAACAACAGGATGGACCTTGAGAACATTATGCTAAGTGAAATAAGTCAATCAGAAAAAGCTAAGAACCTAAGAACCATTATGATTTTACTCATATGTGGAATATAAAACTGAAACTTATAAACACAAACAGTAGTGTGGTGGTTGCCAGAGGGATGGGGGTGGAGAGAGAAGTCCTAATATAAGGTGAGAGGAGAAGATTTGACTTTGGGTGGTGGGCACATGGTGCAATATACAGATTTTTTTTTGATTTTTTTTATAAATTTCATTGATTTTTTACAGAGAGGAAGGCAGAGGGATAGAGAGTTAGAAACATCGATGAGAGAGAAACATCGATCAGCTGCCTCCTGCACACCTCCCACCGGGGATGTGCCCGCAACCAAGGTACATGCCCTTGACCGGAATCGAACCCGGCACCCCTCAGTCCACAGGCCGACACTCTATCCACTGAGCCAGACCAACTAGGGCCAATATACAGATTTTTTAACATAGAACCCACACATGAAACCTGTATGTTCATGTTGACCAATGTCACTCCAGTCAATTTAATAAAAATAACACTAATCATCCTGTTCTATAACTTCCCAAATTGTAACAAAGTTTTCATCAGTTACATGGAGAGGCAGCATGTTAACATGTGAAGGGTTCTTTTAAGAGGTAGGAAACATATGTTTTTGTAAAAGTTATTGTTAGTTATGCAGCAGGATAGAAAAAGCTAAGCTTCCATCAGCTAAGTAAATAATTCCTTTAACTAGAAGGAGTGTAGAGTTGATGTTTAATTGACTCTCAAAGCCATTTATCCAGTGGATGATTCTTACTAAATTCAGTTAAACAAGAGTTACGTGACTGCTATGGGAACTAGTTCATGTGCTAAGTGCTGTGGAGGATAAAATGAAAATATAACTTTCAGACCTAGAACCCTTGTCCTTAAGTTCCTTCTAGTGACTGGGGAAACAGGTCACATTAGTACACAAAGCCATTAAACAATAACACAAGTGTCCAAGACTATCTGATTATATAACTAGTTATGCCATGTAGACAGAGCTCAGAAGAAGAGATAGGAGCTGGAGTGACTAAAGAAGGCTCTGTGGCAGAGCTGGGTGCCAAATATTTAAAGAACATATAATTTCAAGCTTCATATAAACTCATAGAAAAGAAAAAGAACTTAATTCATTCATTGTTAAAAAAAAACTAAAGACACCATGAGAAAAAAGAACTACAATCTCACTCATGAACATAAGTGCAGAAATCCTAAACATCATATCAGTAAGATAAATCCAGCATTATATGAAAAAGGTAATTGTTGGGCAAACAAGGATAAATGGCTGGAACACACACACACACACCCAGATCTCTCAGAACCTTGTTTACTGAGGAAAACTCATGGAGTCACGAGCTGTGTCCCCATTGCCCATCACTTACTGGGGTAACTCAAAGGGATCTAGTAGGGTTAGGCACTGCACACAGGGAGGAGGGGCTTTTAAGATGCCTGGTTGGGAAAATACCAGCCCTTCTTTTAGCATGATCAAGGGCTAGAGTTCATCCCTTTCTGTGTGATATAGCAGAATGTTAGCCTCCTTTTCTATTTTCCCATCTTAGCAATTAACAAGAGAATACCAGTCTACCTCTCCTGCCTCCTGAGATCAGAGTTCTGAGGCCAAGCTTTGTGGTTAAAGCTATGCAGCGTGATACTTTACCAGAACCGATTGACTACCTTATGGTTTCCAACACTTAGTTCTCGTAAAACAGTGTGACAAAATTGGATTTATTCCAAAAAAGCAAGGTTGATTTTACATTTTAAAAATGTGTTGATTCCCCAGATGTAGGGATTACTGTAATCATCTTGCTCACTGTCCCTGCCTCCTGTCACAGGACTAGGTCACACTGTCCCAATAGCAGTGATCACAATTGAAATGAAGCCATTTATTTGTGTAATTGTTAATATCTGTCACTTCAAACAGAATGCTTTCTTCATTAAGACAGGAATGTTGTTTATATTGTTAATTGTTGTAATCTCAGTATTTAGTAGTGTACCTAGTACATGGTATATGTGATCACTGATAATTTGTTGGGTTCCTTCTAGATCTAATACTCTACACAAGGACTTTTTTTTTTACACAAGAACTTTTATTGTTTTTTCCAGCGATGATTTCTCCTGAGCATTAATTCTGTTAAGATCAGTGACCTGTAGTGATAGTTGGAACTGAACATGGGAGAGAGACTTTACAAAAGCCATCTGGGGTATTATTTATGTGTCCTGTCAACAGATGGAAGTACACAGCCTGTGTTCCCCTGGGAATGTAGAGGAGGCCCTGACCCTTGACCAGAGCCAACCACTGCACTCTGTCAGGTTCTCCAGAATGCCCTGCTGCTGTGTGTCCCATCCTCATTCCTTCTTTCCTCTCTCCCTGCTCTCTTATGTTAGAGAACTTCCCTAAGTGTGTGCTGGAAATCTCTGATCAGGAGGTGTTGGAATGGTATACTGCCAAAGACTTCATCGTTGGGAAGCCTCTCACTATCCTCGGGAGAACCTTCTTCATTTACGATTGTGACCCGTTTACTCGACACTATTACAAAGAAAAGTTTGGAATCTCTGATTTACCATGTATTGATGTAAGCAAGAAGGAACAACCTCCTGTAAAACAGGTAATGGAACGCTAGTTCTGAGTGTAGTGAGATAATTAATATTTTGATGTAAAGTTTAAGAAAAAGGAAAAAAAAGACAGGTGAATATCCAGTAAAAAAAAAAAAAAAAAAGCAAAAAACAGACAAAAAAGAAACTGGACAAAGCATATAAAATAGAGCAGTTCACAAAAGAAGAAATATAAATGGCTAATGTACATATGAAAAGAGCCTCAACTTAATTGATGAAGAAATAGAATGTAAATAATGAGGTTTTGGATCTATTTGATTTTGAAAGACTCGCGATAGCTTATGTTTGCTCTTGCGTGAAGAAATATTTTCATGTACTGTTAAAGGAGGACCAATAAGAAAAACCTTTCTGCCCTGGCCAGAGTGGCTCAGCTGGTTGAACACTGTCCCATGCACCAAAGGATTGAGCCCCAAACCTGGGCTTGTGTCCTGACTGGGAATCAAATCAATCACTGGTTTGATTCCCAGTCAGGACTCATGCCTAGGTTTGGGGCTCAGTCCCCAGGAGGGGGCATGCAGGAGGCAGCCCATCGATGTTTCTCTCACATGTTTCCCTCTCATCGATGTTTCTCTCGCATGTTTCTCTCTCATCGATGTTTCTGTCTCTCCCTCTCCCTTCCTTTCTCTGTAAAAATCAATAATAACATATTTAAAAATGATAGATAAGTAAATAAGAAAAAAAAAACCTTTCTGAAGTCAGTTTGTCATCATTTTAATTTATTCAAAATAAAATGTTATGTATTTCTTGACCCAGAAAAATCTGTGTGTGGTTTTAATTTCTCCTTTTATATCAAATCTTGCATTACTTTTGTAATATTTTTTTCGTTTAGATTTTTTAAAAAGACATTTTTCACATTCCAGATCCTGAGGGCATTTCATTGTTTCTTGCTTATTTATCAAACCCTTTCACTGAAAAACTGGTTGACAGCAAAACAAAAACTGATTAACTGAAGATGTTGGAAGATGGCTTTCTTTCATTGCAACATAGCTTTCCTTAGAGTCACACTGAACTACAGAATTCAGTTCTGAGCACCACAGAAGTCCACTCTGACATGAGAGTAAGTTCATGGTGCTTTTAATGCACTGGAATAGTAAAATGGTAAACTTCAGTCTTCAGAGTGGCTCAGCCACATATTTTAGAGTTTCAGGTGAGAATTGCACATTTTAAAAATTACACATTATACAAAAATTCAAGAAGTGTCTGAAGTATTAAGGTAGAACAGTATCGTGGACTGAAAGTGTGATTGTTTTTATACCTCTTTGGATTAGGAGCGAGTCATACAACCTCTTTGTCTGTTGCTCATGTGTAAGGAAGGGTGGTCAGACCTGTGACTCATTGCTGTTGCCACTGTGTGTGTAAAATAATGTCGCCGGGCTGTTTCTTTTCAAAAGAGAAACAACAGGATGGAATTGAGTTGCTCCAGCCCAGGCCCTTACCTTCTCCCCATCTGCTGCCTATCTGTGTGCCCTGAGCCTCCATTATACTGAATAATGTGTGGTCCTGCAGGTGCTACATTCTGATTTACTCCCTTGGACTTTTGCAATGCTCTTCACCTGCTTAAACCACTTTTCCATCATTTTTTTCACACGACTCTTTCTTATTCTTCACAGCTCAGTATAGGCTTTCTCTCTTCCAAGAGAGTATCTCTGAAGCTCCAGGCAGGGCTGGCCACCTCCTGTGTGTTCCTGGGGTGCTCTATGCCTCTCCACGAACACTCATCTATTACATTAAAATACCTGTTTATGCATTTTCTCAACTAGGCTATAACTTCCTTGAGGGCAGGGACTATATTCTGTACATCTTTGTGCTCCTAGCGACTAACAGTGCCCAGCAAGTCAAAGGTATGTATACTGTATGTCTCTTGAAGTAGGCTGAAGAAGACTGCCTGATTAGTATGTGTTTGCTATCCCAAAAGATCTCTTACACAAGCCTCTTAGAACCAACATTTCATTAAAACAATGCAAAGAAGAATTTGGAATTTGGTGTATGCTGTGAGTTCTCAGGGGCAATAAAACTTCTGGAAGCAAGTGTAGGTGGTAATAATACAGTCATGCGTCATATTTGGGTCAACAATGGCCACATGTACAACAGTGGTCCCATAAGATTATAATGGAGGTGACAAATTCCTATCACCAAGTGGCGTTATAATGTCACAGCACAGCACATCACTTACGTGTTTGTGGTGACACTGGTGTAATCGTGCACTGCTAGTCATTTAAAATTACAGCTCATACAGTTATGTACGGTACATGATGCTAGGTAATGATAGTAAATGACTGTGTCACTGGCTTATGATTTCAATGTACTAAACTTCTTTTCATTATTTTAGAGTGAACTTGTTCTACCTACTTAAATAAAGTTTGTTGTAAAACAGTGTTATGCCAGCAGCAGCCTGATACATTTTGTGTTTACCGCATCTTGACTGCATCATTTTCTCTCGTGATTAATCTTGTGTAGTTTTGCTCATTGTGGTTCCTATGCATACAAATCCACTGCTAATGTTGCCAGTGACTGATCTGGATGCAAAATGAAAATGATTAAAGACTACAAAGGTAGACAATTAGTGATGGCTACATCTTTCCAGTCAGGCATGTCCCATTCCACCATAGCTACAATCTTGAAGAGCAAGAACAAAGGTAATGAGACTAACAGAAATTTGAGAAGGGCCTGTGTTAGATATGGAGAAACATCTAATGACCCAGATGGAAGAGTAGATATAGCAGTATGTCCTCTCGGCACCACAAGGATCACAGCCACAGAGAGATTTGTTTTTGATGTTGAAAGAAAAGGCTGGTCCCAGCTTTGATGTGAATTTATCACTAGCTCTAGATGGTTTAAATTATTCAAGTATTGTTATTCATTCCATAATGTGAGTGTTGATGTGAAGGCAGCTGAGGAATTTTTGGAAACTCTAGATAAGCTGATTGTGGAGCAAAATTATCTGCCAGAGCAAATATTCAATATGGATGAGACCTCCATATTCTGGAAACAGATGCATGAATGGACTTCCTTCCACAGGAGGCCAAGTCAATGCCAGGTTCCGAGGCTTTTACATACAAAATAACAGTCTTGTTTAGGGGCAATGTTGCCGGCTACAAATCGAAACCCTTGTGATCTGGCACAGTGAGAACCCCTGGGCGTTCAAGCATATCGATAAGCACACATTGCCAGTTTCCTACAGGGACATGGAAGTCATGGGTGACTCAACTCCTCTCCCAAGATGCCCTCCTGCATTGCTCTGCCAGTGAAATGGAGTACTGTTTAGAGAATAACATACCCTTCAAGATTTTGCTTATTGATAATGCTCCTGAACATCCTTCTTTTATTGGTAACAGTCATCCCAGTATCCAAGTGCTATGTCTCCCTCTAAAACCCCCTTTTTGATGCAACCAATGGATCAAGGAGTTACAGCAGGTTTTAAGGCCTAGTACCTGAGGAGGGTCTTGAACCAGGCTATTGCTGCAACTGAGGAAGACACTGATGTAATTCTGGAGGGATTACAACATTTTGACTGCACCAAGAACCTTACTTGAACTTGGGGTGATGTCACCAAGGAGTATATGAATGGCATCTGGAAGAAGACACTCAGGAGGTTCACCCGTGACTTCAAAGGCTTTATCAAGGACGAGGATGTTGCAAAAATGAAGACTGTGGTTGAGATGGCAAATGACTAGCCTGAGTGTGGATGAGATGACATTGAGGAGCTCCTAGAGGTGGATCCCGAGAAATTAACTAATGTAGAGTTGCTGGAACTGGAATGCGTAGGTGAAGAGGCAAGAGAAAAGGAAACTGCAGGAGAAGAAAAAGATGAACCCCCAAGAAAATTCACAGTGAAGGTTTTAGCAGAAGCTTTTGCAGACCTCAACACACTCCTTAGAAAGTTTGAAAAATGGACCCCCAACACCAAAAGGTTTGTATTATTAGAGAGGAATGTTCATGATGCATTATTGGTCTATAAGCAGATTTATGATGTAAAAAACAAACAACCCAAGCTAACCATCATGGGCATGTTTCTGAAAACAGTGACACCTCCTCAAGAAGAGCCTCAGGCGGGTCCTGCAGAAGGTGTTCCAGAAGAAGGCATTTGCTCTCAGAGGAGAGGACAGCTCCATGTGTGTTACTGCCCCTCAAGACCTTCCAGGGGACAAGATGTGGAGCGGAAGACAGTGATATTTAGGTCCAGACCCTGTGTAGGCCTCAGCTAATGTGTGTAGTTGTGTCTTAGTTTTTAACAAAACGTGTTCTGAAAAAATTTAAAAATAGAGAAAACTTATAAAATAAAGATATAAAGAAAAATATTGTTATACAGCTGGACAAAGTTTGTGTTTTAAGCCAAGTTTTTTCATAGAAGAGTTGAAATTTTTTAAAAAATTCAAAAGTTTTTAAAGTAAAAACATTACCGTGAGTTAAGATTAAATTATTGTTGAAGAAAAATATCTTCTTATAAATTTAGTATCGCCTAAGGGTACAGTGTTTGGAAAGTGTACAGTCATGTGCAGGCTTTCACATTCACTCCTCACTCGCTGACTCAGCCAGAGCAACTTCCAGTCCTGCAAGCTCTGTTCTTGGTAAGTGTTGCGTACAGGTGAACCAGTTTTTATATTTATAGCATGTTTTTACTAGGCCTTATCTATGTTTAAATACAGAAATACCGCTGTTACACTTGCCTGTAGTATTCAGTATAGTCACATGCTGTGCAGGCCTGTAGCCAGGAGGACTAGGTTATGCCATATAGCTTAGGTGTGTAGTTGGCTATACCACCTAGATTTGTGTGAGTGTGCCCTATGATGTTCACACGATGCTGAAATCACCTGACAACGCCTTTCTCGGAACATATTTCTGTCATTATGATACATGACTGTACCTCTTGCTATCAGTTGCTGTTTTTTTTTCTGATAGAACTCTGTACCATTGAATGTGCCTCACCCTCAAATTTTTGGCAGCATTTGAAAAAATACCATGGGAACAGATCTAGATTCTTATCAAGCCAACTATTCCACCACTTTAGTTTACAGATAAGTGTAGTGTAAGATAGCGGTCCAGGGGACTTTCCCAAGGTCATATTGCAAAGTGCAAGGGTGAGTTTTACCTAAGCAGGGGGTGGGATGGGAGGGATTGTAACAATGGTGCACCTTTTGGAGCCCTTTGATCCATCTTTTGAGTTGATAAGAGCTTTTGAGTCCTAGGATACTTCTCCATTCCACTCTCATTACCATAATACTTTTTTTTCTCTTAACCTATCTTCCAAAGAAAGTAAAGGATGGGGAGACTTGGATAGAGAGCAGAGAGAAGTGAAGAACTACGTAGATGTTTGTTTTGCCTATCAGTCACTCTGTATACTAAAACTCCATATATATGGCACATTAATTATAGTGTTTGGTCAGTTTATTTTCAGTAAATTCTCTATATTACAAATAAATTCTCTGCCTATTAATAAAAGTCTGTGTTGGAAATGAGTAAGAGAGCTCCTCTTACCAAACTGCAAATACAGTTAGCTCTCCTTAGTCTTGACCCTTCAGTCATTTAAACCCTGAACAACATAGTTGTAAAGCAGGGATGGGGCACAGTAGCAGGGTCTAGAGGGGTAAAGCTGGAGCCAAGCTAATGGTCAGGGGCAGAAGTGGATATGAAAGGGATATATTCAGTTTGAGAATCAACACTCATAGGTCAGGCTGATCTGCTAGATTGGGAGTAAGTAAACATGGGTCCAATGGCCAGATGTGTTCCCTCTCAAGCTGGCTCCATATGGAGACGTGCTGGTGAGGCAGAGGAGGAAACCAAGGACTGTCAGGAGAGCTAATCTGGTATGGAGATGTCCCCTAAAGGCAGTACGTGAGGGGATATGGGACTTTCACGCTCATCGTTATACTTGCTTTGTTTAGAAGGCCTGGGCAGAAACTCTGGTGGGTGGGTCATAAGAGGAGGATTAACTAGGAGTGAGAATGTCCACAGTCAGAGGAGTGGCTCATCTAGATTTAAACAGGACCCAGGCAGTAACTTGGAGTATGAGAAGCCCAGTGCCAGGACTCCAAGTATATGGGCTGATATTTAGGGAAGGTCTTCATTCCAAGCAGAGCAAATGAGGTGCAATTCAGGAAAAGCAGGTAGAATCTTTTTGAACACAAAAGGAATTTGAGAGGAAGGCACTCAGAGGCTTACAGGTATCTCCCTATTTCAAAATCTCTCAACCTCCACCCCCATCCCCCAACCAGGCTGCTGTCATTGTGTGTTATTGCAGATGCAAAGCAAGTTTAGATCCCACCACTGCATTTCTGCCTGGCCTCCAGAGTAATGCAAAACTTACTAGTATTTGGCATCTCACACAGGTCCCTCTGTCCATGAAAGCTTGTACATTCGTTGAGCAGTGGTGTTGCTCTTGGAGCAAATTAGGTCATTGCCCACCCACCGGATCCTCTGTCATATTCCAGCCATGATGATCACATCACTGCAGCCCTGGCAAGTGGAGTGCAGGGTCAGTGTTCTGATCACTGCACCTTGAATGAGCATGGCAGAGTTACTGGGTTTTGAGGGAGTACCCTATTACAGATGGACCAGGGATCTTATAGACTAATTTGTTAAAGTGCCTGGACATAATTTATAAAAAGATTTTGGGAAGGTATCTACTAGTACAAGTGAAAAGCAAGGTACAAGCTGAGTTTGCTAAGAAAGCATAGCAAGGAATCAGAGAAAAAGAACTCTGATGCTTTCTAGCTAGTATTGATGAGAGAGTGGATAACACCCTCAAAACTACTTAAGCTTTGAGACAAGCAAATCCTAGCATCCTAGAGCAGTGATGGCGAACCTATGACACGCGTGTCCAAGGTGACATGCGAACTCATTTTTTTGGCTGACTTTGTTAAATGGCATTTAAATATATAAAATAAATATCAAAAATATAAGTCTTTGTTTTACTATGGTTGCAAATATCAAAAAATTTCTATATGTGACACGGCACCAGAGTTAAGTTAGGGTTTTTCAAAATGCTGACATGCCGAGCTCAAAAGGTTCGCCATCACTATCCTAGAGTGATGCTTTCAGCTCTTTGTGGAACCTGAATAAGAAATATAAGCTCATCCTATATACTTCTACACTACTCGCCAATGAAATTTATTTTGAGTTTGCTCCTTCACTAGGAAAGGAGAGTTCTCAGTAAGTACGGCTGTCATCCCTCTTCTGTGAGGCAAAACTCAAGTAATGAAAATATTAGAAATATGGAAGTAAAGAGGGAAAATGAACCAAGTTGACACCATTATAATTAATGGTTATTAATAGTAGGAAAGGAGCAAAGGGGGAAGCCAGAGATGATAAGCTTGGCCATTTGGGAAGCTTAACCAGGAAGCTGCCATTTCACACTCTCTCGAGAAACACTGGTCCATTCCCCGCAGAACACCAGGAGAAAGGAGAAGGGGTCCAACAAAGGGGAGATGGATGCATGCACAGAGAAGTTGGGATGACTAGGGAAGGTTCCTGTCAGTCACACCTGGGAACAGAATGGGTGTGGCTAATGCAAGCCCATGAAAATGTGGGGCTGCATAATCCCTTAAAGGAGTTTGCCCTCATGTTGCTTTTGTGACTCTTGGCTCATGGGGCACTGTCACTCCTGCTTCCTTGCTTTCGCCCTTGTTTCCTCCATAGCCATGTGGCCTGGGAAACCCCGCATGCAGTGGACTGATGGACTGTGGCCGGAAACACAAATTAAGCTATCCTGATGCTGTATTGGATTGTGCCAACATGGAATGGACACTCTGGACACTGACTCTGATTTTAGCCCTGCTAAAGCCAAAGCTACACTTCTATGGGAGGACTGAGGGAGAGGGGGCCTTGGAAACTCAGGGATGTAATTCCACAAAAATAAAAATCACTCATTCTACCATATGAATCTCAGAAAATTCTCTCTTTTTTTTTTTGAGATATCTCAAGAATTCCACTTCCATGAGCAACAGGTGGGGACAAGGACCAGTCCCACCCCCCCACCCCCCACCCCCACTTCCACCACTAACAAAATCATGCTAGGATGGTCACAAGGGCCAGGATTGGGCCTGGGAGTAGGGCCAGGTAAGGGGTCAGTGAACATCAGCAGTAGTTTCACTGTAGCCCTGAGAGTTACTTTGTAGCATCAGCAGTCACTTCTATAAGGAATGATCAAGGTACAAAATCTATAAATAGCCCTGGTCGGTGTTGCTCAGTGGTTAGAGTATTGGCCTGCACATCAAAGGGTCATGGGTTCGATTCCCAGTCAAGGGCATGTACTGGTTTGTGGGTTTGCTCCCTGCCCTGGGTTAGGGCATGGGCAGGAAGCAACTGGTTATATGTCTCTCTCTCATCAATGTTTCTCTCTCTCTTCCCCTCTTGCCTCCTTCCTCAGTTCCTCCCTCCCTTCCACTCTCTCTGAGAAGCAATGGAAAACATATCCTCAGGTGAGGATTAACAAAAAAAATCTGTAATGATAAAAGCATAATATGCTAATTAGACCAGACAACCTTCCAGCCAAAGCCAGGGCTCTGAGTGAAGCCTGCGCCTGCCAGCAGCTGGAGGGAAGCCCGGGTACCGGGTGCCAGAGGGAAGCCGGTGCCTGCAACCGGGGGAAGGAAGGCCTATTCTTGCACGGATTTCATGCATCGGGCCTCTAGTCTATAATAAGAGGAATGGAATATGCAGTGTGTTTTTTTTTCTGACTACATTTTAAATATTGAAATATCTTTTAAATGTTTTCTAGATTTTTCAAAGAAACTTAGTTACTTTGTAGTTCTTAATACAAATAGCATCTGCTTCTTGCTTCCTGTATTTCTTCAGGAATTACCTCCCTATAATGGTTTTGGACCAGTCGAAGATTCTGCTCAGAATTGTTTTGTTCTCATTCCAAAAGCTCCGAAAAAAGATATTATTAAAATGCTGATGAATGAGAACAAGGTGCTTCGTTTTTTGGCTTCACTGGTGAGGATAATTTTTATATACTAAGATTCTGTTCTGTCTCAGTATCGTGCCTTGATGTATGTTGGACGCTGTTAAGTATGGTGTCCCTGAACCAAGATGTAGCTCAAGGCCAATCTCCCACAAAAATCTTTTCTTAGATCATTAATCTTCCCCTCTGCCCCTCAAATTTTGACAGCCCTTTTTGCATTTTTAATTAAGTAGTTATGAAAGCCTGCTTTATATTCAATTTATTTATGTGTCTGTGTGCCTTTGCAGTGTACTCTGACTTCCTTGAGGGTAGAGACCATGTCTTACTAATTTTTAGCATTACTTGTCATATCTAGCTTGTTATATTTTATAGTCACTAAATATAATAAAGGGACTCATTTATTGGTATCAGTTAACTAGATGTTGCCTTTGAGAGGTCATATGGCTAGTGGTTGAGAACATAGGTCTGGAAAGAGACATAAATTTAAATTCTGAATATTCCACTCAGGCAATTCCCTGAATTCCCTGAGGCAAATTACTGATAGGAATTCAAAGGATAATGTCTTTTAAAAATGGAAAAAATGTAGAAAAAAGAATATAAACATTTTATTTAGAACTATCCACATAAATATTAGAAATTAAAGTAAATTACTTCTGGGAATAGGAATTGGGAGTGGGAAGGGGTAGGCCAGGTGATTTTTCAAATTACAGGCAGATTTGGAGATGCTGTTAACTAGTGAGACAATTTAGTACTATAAAGATATTTGCCCCAAATTGATTTATGGTTTCAAAGCAATTACAGTCAAAATCCCAAAGGGTTTTTAATTTTTGCAGATTGACCAACTGATTCTATTATTTATGTGGAGATGTAAAGCACTTCCAAGCATGGCCAAGACATTCTTGGAGAACAAGATTGGTGGATTTGCTTAACAAAATATAACATATATTAAAAAGTCATGTAAAGTAATTAAGACAATAGAGTATTTGTGCAAAGATAGATCATTAAACCAATGGAATAGATTAGCGGCGGTCACCAACCGGTGGTCCACGGACCACTGGTGGTCTGTGAGGTCCGAAAGGTTGGTGACCGCTGGATTAGAGTTCAGAAACTGACTTACACACATTTAGATACATGACTAAGGGCATTGCTGAGGGATTAGGAAAGGAAGGCCTTTTCAATAAATTATATCAGAACAATTAGATATCTATTTGGAAAAAAAGAAAATATGACTCACCTCAGACCAAATATAGAAATTGATTCTGGGTGAATTTAAGATTTAAATGTGAAAGGCAAAGCAATAAAATTTCTTAATAATAATAAAATTTTAACCTTGTAGTAGGGAAAGATTTCTGTAGTGGTACACAAAAAGCCAAAATTGTTTCAAAAACTGATAAATTTGACTACATTAAATGGACATTAATGTTCCTCAAAAAACACCAATAAGAAAGTAAAAAAATGAAAAGACAGAGTGGGAGAAGATGTCATTGCAGAAATCAACTAAGAACTCATATCCAGAATATCTAAAGAACAATCTAAAATCATTTTTAAAAATAAGCAAGAAACTTGAGCGGGCATTTTACAGTACAGGATATCCAGAAGGCCAATAAATGTATGAAAAGGTGCTCAGCCTTTTTAGTGATCAGGAAGCTACAAATTATAACCACAAAGAATTGCTCTCACCTACCAGGATGGTTAATATGTTGGTGACAATATGGAACAATAGGAAATATACTATCAGTGACACGCTCACTTAGGAAAATAGTTTGGCCTAATCAAACATACCAGGTTGTGCCCAAATAGTACATATATGTGCACTAAGAGATAAGAATGTCCCTAATAGCATAATCCATGATTGCTAAAAATAAACCTGGATGTCCATTTATAGGAAACTGACTGGATAAATAAAATGGCATGTTTATACAATGATTCGAATTCTGTTCAGCAATGAAAATTAATGAACTACATTTACAAATAAAAAGGATAAGTCGCATAAACATAACTTTAAATGTAAGAACTCAGTCACAAAATAATACATATTATATAATTTTCTTTATATTAAGATTTTAAAAAAACATGCAAAACAGAACTGTTTAGGGATGCCTGCTTTGTGGTAAAACTAAAGAAAACCGTAAACTTAAGATAGTGGCTTCTTGGGTGGGGGAAGGATAGGGTATTGATTGGGAGGGTGCTTTCTAGGTTCTGTCAATGTTGTTTTTTGAACTGTACATTTGGGGGGGCGGTTTGGTCATTTTCTCTGTGTGTTAGAGTTCAAAGTAAAAAAAATCATTTAAAAGAATACCGGTAAGACTAATATTAATAAAGAATTAGTGTGTACCTTCCTATGGGTAAAGGAAAAAAGAAGTGATATTCTGGTTGTGGTAATTTTCAAAGGGTTTTCCCTGGCCTGGTAAAAACAGAGGGTATAGCCATTCAGCTCATCACAAACACTCTGAAGCAGCGGTCACCAACCTTTCAGACCTCACGGACCACCAGTGGTCTTTGGAGCCCCGGTTGGCGTCCGCTGCCCTGAAGGATGAGTCCCCAACCCCCTTGCTATGGCCTTGCCTGTGGCCCTGCTCAGAACTTTATATTTTATTCTAAGTGTGATGGGAAGTCTCTGGAAGTTTGAGAATAGAGGAGTGATATGGTTTGATTTTTATTAACTATATTGTGGATGTGGTGTTGTTGTTGTTTTTAATTTTACAGGGGTATCCAATCAAAAACGTTTGGAAACCATTAGATTAGGGAATGCGGAAATTATCTTACTAAGAGGAAACCCAGTGTCTTTCTGCAGCAAATGAGAAATGATTACACAAGTCCCTGGTCTAAATGAGAAGATGGGTGCGAAAGGTGTGATATGGGAAGATTTTAGTCAGGAATAAGCATGTCTGTTTTTAAGCTTGTTCCACCTGGAATTTGTGGCTTAAAGGTTATGTGATCACTCTCAGCGAGTTGATTTGGGAGAAGTCTTGTCTACATGATAGTTTCTCAGAATCACTTTTAACTCTACGATTCCTCCCTTCTTAAATTTTCCTCTAAAATTATGTATGTAAATGGATTTGTTTAAAGAACTAAACTCTGCACAGGCATCATAGTGCCCACGAAGTTGAACCTAATGTCAGCCAGGAGGTTTCACACTGGCAGCCTATGGGCAGAATGTGGCGACCTACGTGCTTTGTTGGTGTGCATGGTGCTTGAGAGAGTTTAGGTCAGTGTTTTCAAGCCAGGGCTTTATACAGTACTCCAGATTGCTATCTTCTCATGCAAAATTGGAGGATCTAGCAGCATTGGGCCTACATTCCCACGAGGCAACTATCAACTGCAGTTGAGTTGGGGCAGCCTTTAGATGAGCCATGTCTTTTCCCAGCCACCAGAGTCCCTCCCATACTGTTCATTTATATTATACTTTATGTAATAGATTTACATAATAAACCTAATCCCTGTAGGTATTTTACTTGGGGGCATCTAGATAATTCATGTACTTTCATAATACCTTTTTTTTTCACTTTTCTAGGAATCCCCCTACCCAGAAGACAAAGACCGCCGATTTGTCTTCTCTTATTTTCTAGCCACTGACATGATCAGTATCTTTGAGCCTCCTGTTCGCAATTCTGGTATCATTGGGGGCAAGTACCTTGGCAGAACAAAAGTTGCCAAACCACACTCTCCGCCAGGAAACCCCATCTACTATAGCCCTAGTGACTTCTTCATTGGCGCTGTGATTGATGGTAGGTCTAAACCCAGGTTAGGCTTTCTGACTAGCCAAGTGAATTAAATTTAAGTAACCCTTGTAAGGGACAAGTGGGCTGCATTCCAGCAGAGACAAAGCTAATATCCTTACACTAGAGGCCCGGTGCACAAAAATTTGTGCGCTCAGGGGGGGAGGGGGGGTCCCTCAGCCCGGCCTGTGCCCTCTCGCAGTCTGGGACCCCTTGGGAGATAACGACCTGCTGGCTTAGGCCTGCTCCCGGGTGGCAGAGGGCAGGCCCAATCCCTAGGTGCAGCCCCTGGTCGGGCTCAGAGCAGGGCCGATTGGGAGGTTGTGATGCCACCCTCAGTCACGCTCAGGGTAGGGCCAATTGAGGGGTTGGGGCACCGTCTCCTGTCACACTCAAGGCAGGGTCGATGGGGAGGTTGCGGCGCCACCCCATCACGCATAGAGCAGGGCCAATCGGGGTTGGGGCGCTGCCCCCGTCACACACAGAGCAGGGCCCATCAGGGGGTTGGGGCACCGCCCTCTATCACCCACAGAACAGGGCCAATCAGGGGGTTGGCGCGCCGCCACTCTCACACTCAGGGCAGGGCCGATGGGGAGGTTATGGCTCTACCCCGTCACACACAGAGCAGGGCCTGTGGGGGGTGGGGGGGGGTTGGGGAGCTCCCCCCTATCAGGCACAGAGCAGGGCTGCTCAGGGGGTTGGGGCCCCGCCCCCTGTCACACACAGAGCCGCAGGGTGATCGGGGGTTTGGGAGCTGCCCCCTGTCACGCTGATCCCGGTGCTGGGAGGCATATTACCCTTTTACTATATAGGGTAGAGGCCTGGTGCATGGGTGGGGCCGGCTGGTTTGCCCTGAAGGGTGTCCTGGATTAGGGTAGGGGTCCCCACTGGGGTGCCTGGCCAGTCTGGGTGAGGGGCTGAGGGCTGTTTTCAGGCTGGGAGTGACTGAAGTTCCCAACTGCTCCTTTTTTCTTTTTTTAATTCTGGGCCAGCTTTACCTTGAGGCTTGGCTCCAGCTCTTAGGCCTGCCTCCACGGCTGAAAGTAGGTTTCTGGCCTTTGCTTACAATGTTGCGAATCTGCTGGCTGAAGTCCTGCGGTATTTGTTACAATGTTTCTTAAACTGCCTACTCAGAGGCCTGCAGCCGCAGGCGGGGAACGTTGGTTTCCTCCAATGATCCTCCGTCACTGAGGCAAGCAAGCCTCATGTTAGTTTCAAACTGCCTGGCTGCCGGCCGCCATCTTGGCTGACAGTTAATTTGAATATCTCCCTGATTAGCCAATGAAAAGGGTAGCGGTCATACGCCAATTACCATGTTTCTCTTTTATTAGTGTAGATATGTGGTCCAATGTCTTAATCTCCTTCCTTCCCAATTAAACTGTGAATTGGTTGCATTTGGGGGAGCAGGGGTATAAATATAGATCCTGAGCTTCCTAACACCGAACAAATGACTGCATATAAGTTTCGAGAGTTTTGAAAGTTCACTGTGCATGCATGTGCATGTCTGTGAATTTGTCATTGGAGGGTCAGTATTTACTCCTGATTGCATGATAAAAGCATAACCAAGGTGAGTGTATCTCTGCCTTCTCCCCAGTGTTTGGCCACCGGTTCATCATCCTGGACACAGACGACTATGTCTTGAGATATATGGAAAGTAACGCTGCCCAGTATTCACCAGAGGCACTCTTGTCGATTCAGAACCATGTTCAAAAGCGAGAAGCTTCTGCACCAAAGTTGGAAAAGTATGTTTGATTGTCTAGGGAGCATTTTGGCTCTGGCACATGTGAGATATTCAGGAAATAGTTCTTGATAAATTGAATGGGTAATCCCATTTTAGATTTTCACCAAGTAGGAGTTATTAGTCATACATAGGTTTGCTGGGTCCAATATAATAAGTAGTAACTTAGAACATTTCCAACTTTATCTATTTAGCAAATAACTATTGAATGCCTCGTATGGGTCGGAAACTATCACTAGGCCCTTGGGCTTTTTTATAGTAGTAAACAGAAAAGAAGTTGTTCCTTCATGGAGTTGGCATCTAAGCAGTGGGAGATAGTCAGTAAACAGCACAAGTAAATTATACAGTATATTAGGTGATGCGTGCTATGGAAAAGTGGGGCAAAATTAGGGTGATAAGGGTTTCTGAAGGGGGGTGGTGGATTGCAATGGATCGGGCAAGGTCACACCTTGGGAAGGTCATTTGAAGGTAAAGGAGTTAGCCATATGGATATCTGGAGGAAGAGTGTGCCGGAAAGAGGGAATGGTGAGTGCTAAGGCCTAGGTAGCAGCATGCCTAGACTATGCAAGAAACACTGGCAAGAAGTAGGCCAGTGAAAGTGGCTGGAGTGAAACAAGTGAGACGAGAGGAGTGGAAGGTAGAGTTAGAAAATTAGTAAGTCCTGGATCATGTAGGACCTACTAGGTCTTTGGAAAGATGCTGGCTTTTCTCTGAGTGAAATGGAGAACCATTGTGGGGTTCTGAATAAAAGAAGTGGCAAGATTTGACATATGTATTAAAGAGCTATTGTGTTCTGAATAGGTTAGGAGAGACATTAGTTAGGAGAATATTACCATAATCCCGGCAAGTGATGATGGTGCATGGATCAGGGTAGATCAGCGAAGGTGGGAGAAATGGTCTGATTTTGGATATATTTTGAAGGTAGATTACATAGGGGATATGAGAGAGAGAGAGAGAGAGAGAGTAGTTAAGATGACTGCAAAGTTTTAGACCTGAACAACTGGAAGGAAGAGTTGCCATCATCTGAGCTGGGGAAGATGTTCATTTGGGGTAGAAGAGGGTTTTTGGGGGAGGGGAGGATTTCAGTTTTGGATATACTAGGTTTACGATAGCTATGAGATATCCAAATAAAGTATCAAATGGGCTGTGGGATGTATAAATCTGGAGTTCAGGCAAGAGTTCTAGACTAGAGATGTAAATGTGGAAGTGTTGGCTTATAGATAATATTTTAAGCCACAGGACTAAGTGAAATCTCTCTAAGGGAGTCAATGTAGATAAAGAAAAGAAGAGCTCCTAGGACTGATCCCGGAGGTCCTCCAACACTCAGAATTGAGAAGAGGAAACTGGGTATGACAACTGGTGAGGCAGGAAGAAAACCAAGTGGGTGTGGTATTCTGGAAACCAAATAAGGAAAGTAGACTCTTTTGTTTGCACAGCAGTGTGGGACTATAAAAACAACCGTGCAAACAATCTTAATAAGCAGTGGGAAATTTACTACTACTGTCCTGTGACCTTTAAAAATTATTGTATAAACTCGAAAAATCTGATGGTTATAAATATAGGGAAATGAAAAAATAGTAAAACTACTTTTTATTTAGTACACTATAAAATATTGGCAACACTGAGAATTAAAGTGTTCCATTTCGTGGAAAAAAACTTATCAAAAGTAGTTTGAGCAGCGCTTGCCTTTTTCTCATCGTATAACTTATGATACAGGCAAACATCTTTTCTATGCTTTGGCAAATTGTCACATTCCTTTTGAAGTTTGGATCAGCTTCCAACATTTCATAATTTTTGCTTTCAGTGTTGTGAAGTATCTCCTAGGGTTTCTTTACTGACAGTGAAATATCTCTGAAAGTTATTTTATTTTTTTTTATTTTTATTTATTTATTTATTTATTTATTTTTTTAAAATACATTTTATTGATTTTTTACAGAGAGGAAGGGAGAGAGATAGAGCGTTAGCAACATCGATGAGAGAGAAACATCGATTAGCTGCCTCCTGCACATCTCCTACTGGGGATGTGCCCGCAACCAAGGTACATGCCCTTGGCCGGAATCGAACCTGGGACCTTTCAGTCTGCAGGCTGATGCTCTATCCACTGAGCCAAACCGGTTTCGGCAGAAAGTTATTTTAATGTGCAGCTTTTTGCTAGTATCTGGGATTTGTCATCCTTTTCATTGCAATTATGTTCCTTGCTTATGTCAGTATTTTGGCCTTCACTGAGTTCCTCGGGCTGCACAGCAAGAGTCTCTTGAATGGAGGCAGTGTGAGCAGCCCCAGTGAGCTGTTTCCTCTATGACTCCATTATACTTCACTAGAGGCCCGATGCACAGATTTGTGCACTGGTGGGGATCAGTGGACCTCCATGCCGCCATAGCCCGGCCTTACCCGCCACCTTGTCAGGTTCCAGCTCGCTGTCTGCATTGATCCCACACAGCACGAAGTAGTGTGTGAAGCAGCAGGAGGCCAGGGAAGGGTCTGAGCCCGGGCTGGGCCCTGCGCCGCTCCCGCTCATCCCGGCCCCACTGCGCCTGCTGCAGCTGCCTCGTGTGCACAGGGGAAGCGTCCACAGGAGAAACTCATGCAGCAGCTGTGTAGCCGTCAGCCCCGCGTCTAGCGCCTGTCAGCTGAGCAGCACTTCTGCTGTGGGAGCTCACTGACCACCAGGGGTCAGCTCCTGCATTGAGCGTCTGCCCCCTGGTGGTCAGTGTGTGTCATAGTGACCAGTCATCCCCAGTCTTTCTGCTGTTAGGGTCAGTTTGCATATTACCCTTTTACTATATAGGATAGAGGCCTGGTGCATGGGTGGGGGTCAGCTGTTTTGCCCGGAAGGGTGTCCTAGATCAGGGTTGGGGTCCCGCTTGAGTGCCTGGCCAGCCTGGATGATGGGCTGAAGGCTGTTTGCAGCTGGTCACACCCCCTTCAGGGTGGGGGTCCCCACTGGGGTGCCTGGCCAGCCTGGATGACGGGCTGAAGGCTGTTTGCAGCTGGTCACACCTCCTTCAGGGTGGGGGTCCCCATTGGGGTGCCTGGCCAGTCTGGGTAAGGGCCTGAGAGCCATTTTCAGGCTGGAGAGCAACTTAAGCTCCCAGCCTCTCCTTTTTTTCTTTTTTCTTTTTTTAATTCTGGGATTTATTTACCTTCTATAGCTATCACTGGAGCTGAGAGCCTTCTCCAGCTCTGAGGGCTGAAAGCAGGTTTCTGGGTCTGTTTGGCTTCTGTAATTGAAACTCTGTTGCCATCACAGCAGCTCTAAGCTCTGAGGCCGAAGCTGGCTGAAAGCAGGTCTCTGGAGCTTGTTTAGCTTCTATAATTGTAACATAGTTTCTTAGAGTGCAGCTCAGAGGCTGGCAGCAGCAGGCCGGGAACATTGGCTTCCTCCATCACTGGAGCAAGCAAGCCTCCTGTTTGCTTCAGCTGCATGGCTGCCGGCCGCCATCTTGGTTGGCAGTTAATTTGCATATCCTGATTAGCCAATGGGAAGGGTGTCGGGGTTATGGTCAATTTGCATGTTTCTCTTTTATTAGATAGGACTAGAGGCCCAGTGCACAAAAATTTGTGCACTCGGTGGGGTGGGGGGAGGTCCCTCAGCCCGGCCTGTGCCCTCCCACAGTCTGGGACCCCTCGGGGGATGACCATCTGCTGGCTGAGGCCTGCTCCCCAGGGGATTGGGCCTAAGCTGGCAATCAAACATCCCTCTGGCAGCCCGGCAGCCCTGGGGGTATGTCCACTTGCCAGTGGGGAGCAGACCTAAGCTGCAGTTGGACATCCTTAGCGCTGCTGAGGAGGCAGGAGAGGCTCCCACCACCACCGCTGTACTGGCAGTTATCAGCCTGGCTTGTGGCTGAGCAGAGCTCCTCCATGTGGGAGCTCACTGACCACCAGAGGGCAGCTCCTTCATTGAGCGTCTGCCCCCTGGTGGTGTGTGTCATAGCGACCAATCAGTCCCAGTCTTTCTGCTGTTAGGGTCAGTTTGCATATTACCCTTTTGCTATATAGGATAGAGGCCTGGTGCACCGGTGGGGGCCGGCTGGTTTGCCCTGAATGGTGTCCCCACTGAGGTGCCTGGCCAGCCTGGATGAGGGGCTGAGGGCTGTTTTCAGGCTGCCTGCACCCCCTTTAGGGTGGGGGTCCCCACTGGGGTGCCTGGCCAGTCTGGATGAAGGGCTGAGGGCCGTTTTCAGGCGGGCCAAGCCTGCAACTGAAGCTCCCAGTCTCTCCTTTTTTTTTTTTAATTCTGGGATTTATTTACCTTCTGTAATTGAAACTTTGTTGCGGCTCCAGCTCCAAGGCCGGCTGGCTGAAAGCAGGTTTCTGGGCTTATTTAGCTTCTATAATTGCAACATTGTTGTTTAGAGTGCAGCGCTCAGAGCTGGGCCACGGCAGGCCGGGAACCTTGGCTTCCTCCATCACTGGAGCAAGCAAGCCTCCTGTTCGCTTCAGCTGCCTGGCTGCCGGCCGCCATCAATGGGAAGTGTAGCGGAGGTATGGTTAATTACCATGTTTATCTATTATTAGATAGGATATTCTAGAGGCCCAATGCACGAAATTTGTGCAAGGGGCTTGGCCCTTGCAGCTGCGGAAGCTTGCCTTGGACCTCGCAGCCCCAGCTTTGTCTGGAAGGTCATCTAGCTGTCTGGTCTAATTAGCATATTATGCTTTTATTATTATAGACTAGAGGCCTGGTGCATGAAATTCGTGACCGGGCGGGGGGGTGTCCCTCAGCCCGGCCTGCACCCTCTCACAATATGGGAACTCTCATGTAGGGTCCCTAGGCCTGGCCAGCAATCAGGGCCTATCGGGGCTTTCCTTGCCCTGGCTGCCAGCAGCTGGCTCCACCCCCGCTGCTGCCACTGCTTGCCATCTGTGTGGTGCTAGCCCCCCTCCCCCGCCACCGGTCACCTTCCTCTGCAGGCGACAGGTGTGGGGTGCGATCGCTTTGCTGGCCTGGGCCTCCCTCTGTGGGGCGACTGATGGTGGGGCTCTGCGATCGATGGCTCC